AACACGACAGGAAGCGAAGAAGACTTATGACAAAAAATAGAAAATTTCGTCAGGTCTACACTGGAAAACTGTGCAAGGGATTAAGAAATTGAATCCAAAAATATAACTTTCACTTATCTTTTCAAAATCGTGCAGCGCGCGTAACCCCTGCACTACCGCCGCACGACCGGAGCACACAGCTAAAAGCTTTTTTAATTTGTCACCACAGGATCTCGTAGGATATTCATGTAATGGTTGTCAAACGATAGCCTACAAGATGCATCAACTAGAGGAAGAAGTAAGAAATCTAAAGGAACTTATACATAAAACTGTTTCTTCAGAGGCCCGCCCGGGGTTATCTACGCAGAGGTTAACTCGGAGTAGAGCGAGAGCCATCCAGTGTAAAGAATCTCCAGAAAGCAATCATGTGGTGAATAAGACAACAGCTTTTAGTAGGCAAATAGTGGCATCCGATGAAAAAAAAAGAATAAGTAGAAGACTACACCTAACACCACGGGGAAAAGTCGCCAGAATACGAAAGAAAGCATTTTGTTCTTGTCCGAAAAGCATTTGAAAAACGAAACGACCGTAAATGTGCCAGCAGAAGAAGTGAAAGGAAAGGAGCAGCCGACGCCCAACCGTAGAAATCCCCATACAATGTGCTCATTTCCGGAGCCTAACTTAGAGGGCGTATCAACTAGCGCAGTGACATATGGTTATGGACTCACGGTGGAATTAGCTGCCACTGCGAATTCCCATGTCAACAGAGTTGAGAACCGAGCCGAAGAAGCCTCTTATTCATGGGGGTCAAGCTCTCTTCAGAGCCCTCTGATGGGAGGCAGTGCAGATCAACCACATCGTGCAACTATTCATGATGCCTCAACAATATCCGCGGACGAACTTGACGGGGACATAAATACCAATATGACAGTCCCTTCCTTTTCGCCAGTCCATTTCGACGATGGCAAAGAACCGGTCAACGAGGTCCAAACCGCAGAACACAGAGGAATGCTTAACAAGGATCACTGCATCATAATTCAGGGCCTGCCAGAGTCCTCCGCCAGTACCCCCAGGGAACGAGTCGCTGCTGACTTAGAGCAATTCCAGAGACTCCTAAATGAAATGCTGCAACCAACAGAAGATGACACAGACGTAAAGGCGTTTCGTCTTGGTAGCCGTACAACCGCCGCTCCACAGACACGACCAAGACCCCTGAAACTTGTCCTAGGTAGCAATGAGCAGGCGAAACTATTCCTTTCCAGACGTTTTCGACTGAAACATTCCCATAAAGGAGTGTTTTTTCAGTCGGACTACTCACCTGCCGAGAGAATGAAACGCCGCGAACTTGTCCTAGAATTGAGAACACGACAAACCAACGGCGAAGAAGATTTGACAATCTACAACGACCGGATAGTCAAACGACATTCCGCCCCCCTCTGGATCAAGTCGATCCGAATGACCGCACAGATACCATGGTAGCCTGTGTCGGGGTTGATAAAAAATCACGCATGAACTCGAAACTCATATTCATGTATACGAACGCGCAAAGTGTACTTTCTAAACTGGATGAACTTCGTATCCTTACCCATCACCTCCACTCAGACGTTATCTCAATAACAGAAACATGGCTGTCCGAACAGATTGATGATAGAGAACTCATGCTCCCTGGATTTCAACTTTTCCGCAGAGACAGACAAAACAGGAGGGGTGGAGGCATAGTAACAGTTGTTAAAAATGGCTTATACGTTTCAGAAAAAACTGCCCAATTGACTTGCAGTACGGAAGCGTTGTGGCTGACCATAAGGGCACCGGGCTCTCAAAGCCTCGATATCTTGACAGTATATCGCCCCCCGAGAAATGACCCTGACGCTGATGTCCAACTGCTGAAGGAGCTTAGGCTATTTTCAATGCGACCGGCTACTCTCGTCGTTGGAGATTTTAATGCACCTCACATAAACTGGAGCTCGGCCTCAGCCGACTGCTCTGAAGCAGCATTCGACCAGCAGTTACTGCGTACCTCCGCCAATCTGCTTCTAACCCAACACGTAATGTTTCCAACGAGAGTTCGAGAGGGCCAGCAAATGAATTGCCTTGATCTGGTGTTCACCAAGTCCTCTGACAATATCGACGTTGTTAATTGCCTTTCCCCGTTGGGTCAGAGTGAATTCAATTAATTCAATTATTTTCATTAAAGACCCGTCGGGGTCCCATCAAAGCAAGTAAAAATAAATTTACATGCAAATTTTAGACGATGTAGGCAAAATCTGCACAAAGTGCAATGCATAGTTTTTGAGATTAGAAGTCCGTTAAGCAAAATGAAAATGAAAAAAACGAGGGGTGAAAAAAAAACTCCAAAGCAAAATTTAAAAATGATTGTAGTAATTTAACAGGAGAAAATAAACCCCTCGGAAAAATAGCATCAGAAAAAAAACAGGGAGGACTGGCCTGCATGTGGCGGTACAAAACGGAATATAGTCCGACGTCAACATGGCCGAAATAAATGTCAGCGGTATATGGCATTGTGTAACGGATTTCATAAAATGGTACGTAGGCGGGTCGGTCAGGACTGGCCTGTATCGCCTTGAATAAGAAAAATAAGTGCCGAAATTGAAAACCAGTCTCAAGCCGATAGGAGCAAAGATGCGGTCGGTTTAGTTCAACCGATTCCATCCGAGCATGGGGGGAGATGCGACCAGACTACTAGTATATGGCGAATATAGAAGGCTTTGTCAAGACCGCCGATGGAGCGCATTCAGTAAGGGCACGATGACAACCAGTCTCGAGGCGAAAAGAACCCAGATGCGGTCTGTTACATTCATCAGAGTCCATCCGAACATGGGGGAAGGGAGATGCGATCAAACTACTAGTATGTGGCGAATATAGAAGGCTTTGTCAAGACCGCCGATGGAGCGCATTCAGTAAGGGCACGATGACAACCAGTCTCGAGGCGAAAAGAACCCAGATGCGGTCTGTTACATTCATCACGTAGTTCTCATGTGGGAATACACCTAATTCTCCCTGCCTGCACAACCGCCCGATTCCCGACCCAATATTTGGCGCGGAGATTTCGAACAGATGAGAAGGGATCTAAGTCCTATCGACTGGGCATCCACTCTATCCGGCGATGTCGAAGAGATTTGGTGTCAGTTTAAAGAGTTCGTCCACAACCTCATCTCCAACTATTGCCCAATCATGCACAGAAGACTAACAAATAGGCCCCGCTGGCTGACTCCGTCCTTAAAGAAGGAGGTTAACAAGAAGAGGAAGCTGTGGAAGAGATCCCTGACTGAGCGGACGCCAGAATCCCTAAGCAGTTATAAGTCTCAGAGAAATTGGGTCAAAGTTCTCATCGCTAGAGATCGGAAAGCCTTTGAAAAGGATCTTCTGAACCGTGCCAGGGTTAATCCCAAAGTCCTCTAAACCTACATAAGACAGAGCACGCGGAACAAAGACCCCATCCCACTGCTGCGAACAGCCGAGGGAATGGAAATCTCCGATGACAAGGATAAGGCTGAACACCTCTCTCAGTTTTTCCGGTCCGTCGTGACAAGTGAACCTGATTTTCTCTCTCCCATTTGTGAAGACGAAGAAAAGCCTACCCTTGAAGCCGTATTCTTCACCGAAGCAATGGTTCGGAACGAGTTACCTAATCTGAAAGAATCGACCTCCCCAGGCCCTGATGCAATCCCCGCCAAGCTGCTGAAGGAGCTAGCTCCCGACATGTCCAAGCCATTAGCCTTGATCTTCCAAACATCATTTCTTACTGGATGCCTGCCCTCTGACTGGAAGTCCGCTACCATCACTCCGCTTTTTAAGAGCGGAAGTCGTGCGTCTGCAAATAACTACAGGCCAATGAGTTTTACCTCCATCTGTTGCAAAATCATGGAGAATATCATTAAGAAGGCCTTGATGCAGTTCCTCGAGCAGCACCACCTCCTCTCTGATGCACAACACGGCTTTCGAAGTGGTAGGTCCTGCCTGACGAATCTGCTCTTTACGCTCGAACGCTGGACCAAAGCACGTGATGAAGGCAAGGTGGTGCACGCCATCTACATCGATTTCAAAAAGGCCGTCGACAGCGTTCCCCACCAACGTCTCTTGCCCAAACTGCGCAACGCAGGAATTCGTGGACGCCTTCTTGTATGGATCCAGAGCTTTTTGGCTGGACGGTCCCAAAGAGTGCAGGTCGAGCGTCAACAGTCCTCAGAGGTAAGCGTGGTGAGTGGCGTCCCACAGGGCTCAGTCCTAGGTCCCACGTTATTCCTCGTTTTCATAAATGACTGCGTAAAGGACTTAGACTGTGATACCATCCTGTTTGCCGACGACATTAAATTGTGGAAAGTTATTCACAATGCGGCAGACGCAGACCACCTGCAAGCAAACCTGAACAGACTCGAAGACTGGTCGAAGCGCTGGCTTATGCCCTTCAATATAAGCAAGTGCAACTTTCTTCAACTAGGCAGCTTCAGAGCCTCCAGCCCCAGGACTTACTTTCTAGAGGGCACACCACTGCAACAGGTTGACACTCAGAAGGACTTGGGTGTATGGATTACATCTTCACTCAAACCAACACTGCACTGCGCGAAGGCGGCTAAATCGGCTATGGCTACACTGCAACTCATTAAGCGAGCATTTATTGGATTTGATCCAGATAGCTTTTCAAAAATATTTGGCACCTACGTGAGGCCTCATCTAGAATACGCCATACAGGCGTGGAGACCTTGGATTGCCAAGGACTATACCGTTTTGGAGAAGGTCCAGAGACGGGCGACCAAAATGACACAAGGTCTGGGAGCGCTGTCTTAAGAATCTCGACTGTCAACTCTCAACCTGTTTCCACTTTCCTACAGGCAATTACGTGGTGACCTTATACTTGAATTTCGCATTATCAACGGTTTAGACTGTTGTTTAGATCCCACTGATTATTTCACACAAGCTAACACGCCCAATTTGCGCGGCCATCCCCTAAAACTACGCGCCGGGAAAGCAAGGATCAATGAAAGAAAGTTCTTTTTCAGTCACAGAGTGGTTGCAGCGTGGAATGCCCTGCCCAACGATGTTGCAACCTCCTCCTGTGTGAATTCCTTTAAGTTTAGACTTAACGCGCATCAAGCCTCCCAGTTACCAGCCTTACATCCACTCACATAACCGGCACCAACTTAAACTTGTTATACTACTTGTAACTTGTTAGTAACCGTTATTGACTACTCTTTTTGACTAGCTGTCAGCGATTATGTACAAAACCATTTTTTCCCCTTCCCACTATCAATGTTTTTCTCCGACGACTTGTAACCAATAGGGAGTTCAAAGGCGCTCGCCTATATTTCCCTTGATAAACTGAAACTGAGACTGCTCGTGGGTGTTCATATATCTGTTTTTGCAAAAATAGCATCATGTCCGCGCTCTGGACCGGCGTCGGTGAGCATAACGTGTATAATCCTCAACTCCGAACCTTAGAACGTAAAAATGACCATTTAGTTATTTGATTAGCATAAATATCTAAGATTAATTAGTCATTTGATTAAACTACAGCCCACTAAATTGCCTTATCCGGACGGCGTACTCGCGAATGTCCTGAATCAACTCTAAGACCAACCGGCCTCGCCGTTATCCAGGATCTTGAGAACTTCAATGGAAACCGGAACTCCACCTATCGGCTGAAAAAAAAGCGAATATAAGTCCCATATATAAGGGTGGCGGGAGAATAGTCCCGAATATTTCCCGACCAGTGAGTCTCTCAAGCACTGTTGAAAAATGGTAGGTAAGGTGATAAAAACGTAGCTGATGCGGCATCTTGAAGAAAATAACTTGTCAGTTTGCACCAGCATGGATTTCGAGGGGGTCGTTCCTGTCATTCTAACCTGATGCTACCCATGTACAGCTGGACGAAATAAATCGAAATGGGTTTATCAGTCTACGCCGTGAACATCGACTTTAGAAAGGCTTTTGGTATAGTTCCACACAGATGACCTATATTTTAACAACGTCAAATGGGCGCGAATGGGAATCTGCTAAAAATTTTTGCTGATTTTCTTACAGGCAGATGTCAGCGTCTGTGCATCGATAACGCTAAATCGGAATGGACATCCATTCACAGTGGCGTTCCGCAGCGGAGTGTTCTGGATCTAATTCTGCTCCTAATATATGTGAACGACTGCCTGGACAGTCTGAACTGCGAGCGCGTAATGTTTGCCGATGATCTACAGTCTGAGTCGCTTGCAACAATGGTGCGATGAGTGGTGTCTTAATCTCAACCTTGGCAAATGCCAACTTCTCCGATTACGGTCTAGCGACAGGAAGTAGTTGAGATTTGGATCTCACTACTCTATAGGAGGCCAGCAACTTGAATCAGTCAACGAGTTAGGAGACCTCGGTGTGCGAATGACGGCACCTCTCAAACCATCATCCCATTGCGCCAAGGTATCAATGAAAGTCATGGGTACCTTAGGCGCAATTAAAAGATCCTTCCGCAATTTTGATCACGAACTTTTTGGCCGAGTATTTGAAACATTTGTTCGACCACTGTGGGAATATTGCGTTCAGGCATGTTGTCCTTGGGAGAAACAAGATTACATCCTATTTGGGAGCGCCCAACGAAGAACAATCAACCTGTTTTGCGGATTAAGTTGCTAACCTTAAGAGAGACGCCTGGAAAAGCTAAAAACATTTCCTCTCCTTTATAGACAATACAGAATGGATATAACCATGGCATTGGGGATCCTCCGAGAGCTGGACTTTGTTCTTCAGATTTACGATTTATTCGAACTGGCGCGAACGACCAAATTTCCAGTCCGCCAAAACGAACTGATGACAACATATCCCAAACTTGAATTGCGGGCCAAAATCTTCTCCCACCGGCTGGTTAAACAATGGAAAAAATTGCCGAAATCCGTTGTCTTGGTGGAAAACGTTGAGAACATCAAAAAGACTTGATAAATTTATGTCTGATGATCAAATATTTGCTCGGCATTAATGACTGGCATAAATGTTTTGTAAATATGTACATGGTTATAATAATAATAATTTATTAAATGCCAGTTTACAGGCATTGTTAAAAAAGCGACTAAACATAAATCCGACCGGCAGTGAAAAAAAACTCCTGAGATAAAGGAATAAAAATGCAGTTGATGGTGGTTTTCATGGTTTGGAGGGTTCAGGAGAAAAAACAGGTGGTGGTAGACTTTCGACCGTCAAAAAAAGGGGGGGGTTGCACGGTATCGCAGATTATCGGACGTCAATTTCTTTCATGAAGTTAGGATTAATCCACCCAGAAACGCCGAAGTACAGCTGTCGCTGTTGGCCAAAGAAATTGTCCCTGCCGAGACCGGCCATAGTGTTCAGAGACCACAAACGCCATCGCTATGGTACAGTCGTTCAGTGGATTCAGCACCCAAAATTTGTGGGAGCTTTTCTGAATGCAAAAATCGAGTAATAGTTCTCTTAAATAAAAGATAATTTTGCAGAGTTTTCACACTCATGGGTAGGTTATTCCAAATAGCAATTGCGTTTACAGAATAGAACCGACTATATTTAACAGTACGTGCCAGAGGCAGAAATAAAAAGACCTCACGGTGACTGTTACGTCGGGGATGGATATGATGTCTTAAAGAGGTGAGTGGGTTAAATGTGTGATTATATAAGAGTTAAAATAGCAAAAATAGTCCCTTTTGTAATCTACGGATCCATTAAGGATCAAGGCCTATAAGCCGGCAACGTTCTTGGTAAGACTAATGTCGGTGTTCCGGGGTTAAAATTCTCTTGGTAAAAAAGTGTTGAACGGATTCTATTTTCTTCCGCTCAGTAGCACGCATGAGGCTTAATAAAAACGAACAGTATTCCAGACCAGGTCTAACGTACATGTTGAAAAGGCGCATTCTAATGTCCCTAGTTGTAAAGTTTCGGAGGATAAACCCGGTCGTTCTACGTGCTTTGGCACAGTGCTCCGAGAGATTGAGACTCTTGGATTATGAAACGCCCAAATCCTTAATAACCCCAGGCACATTTGTGGCGTTACCTTCAATACTTAGTTGAGGTTGGTGGTCGTCGCCAACCACCATGACTGAGCACTTATGCCAAGAAAGAGAAAGGCACCATGTGCGGCACCACTGGGCGAAAGTCCGTAGATCTCCCTTTAGGAGCTCAAGCACGATGTCATGATCTGCCGGCTTATATCGATATGCAACTTTCAGATCATCGACATACATGAAAGGCTTACCATTGTGAAAGAAATCGGGTACATCATTAACGAAAAGGCAAAATAAAAGTGGGCCGAGTACACTACCCTGAATGACTCCACTCCTCACACGTGTGGGGTTGGAGATGGTATTGGAAATCTTAACTCGCTGTATACGAGGGCCCAGGTAAGAGGATATAAAATTTAAAAGTTTGCCACCTATTCCGAAAGAGGACAGTTTCAAAAGAAGAAGAGCATGGTCAAAACGATCAAAAGCCATAGTGAAATCGAAATATACTGTGTAAAGTGCAAAACCATGGTCCCTAGATTGGAGAACATAGTCAAAGAAAGAGAGTTGACAGGTGTCACAAGATCGAGCTTTGAGGAATCCATGCTGAGCAGCACTCAGTAAGTTATTCACTGTTAAGTGACACATCATCTTCTCTTTGATCAATGTCTCTAAGATCTTCGAAACTGCAGGGAGGGTGTTTCATGGCCGAAAGTCATCAAATGACGTGGATTTGCCGTGCTTAGGAATGGGCAAATTGTGTGATTCCTTCCACAAGGCAGGATAGGTTTCAGTTTCAAGAGCGAGATTAAATATCTTGCATAAGAGGGATGGGAAGATCGTGTTTGCATCGGCTTTTAAAATGCTTACTGGGACACCATCAGGGCCTGGACTATAAGATTGACGAAAACGCCGAATCGCAGCAGTCATATCCCACAGAGTGAAAGTTATAGTTTCTAGAACTGCCCCGGTCAATGACTGGATGGTCGGAGTCGGACTGGTCGAGTCTTCAATGAACGTTTTGGACAGGAAATCATTGAAGCTTTCAGCAGTTAACTGGGCATCAACTATGGGATTTCCGAGATCGTCTCGTAGGATGGGATGCTGCGTCTTTCTATGAGTTTGTATTTTTCTAGAGAAAAGTTTCGAGACATTTAAGGAATGGTTTTCGGTAAAGTGGACCTCTTCGGCTAGCTGTTTTTCTTCAGACAATCTCTTAGCTCGATCAAAAATATCACGAATCAAGGGCAGAACAGAAACATCGTTCTGAAGATGGAAACGACGATAAAGCCTGCGCAATCTGCGACGAAAGAGTAAGGGTAGGAAAACCTCATTCCCAACATTAATAATTTTCTTACGGGGGACAAAACGAGAAATAAGCGGATCCAAAATTTCTTTTAGATTTGCAGTGCAAACATTTACATCCGAACGTCTATCTGTAAAGAGGGTTTTCCAAGGCTCTCCCTATATCCCTCATATTTACTGGATTTTACTGAAAAATTGTTCTGAATTGGCTGAGACCACAAAATCGCACTTCAGAATACAAAACCCGCGTAATTCGCATTATTTGTATGCATGTATATATTTAAAGGGTTAGAGGCAGAGCCCTCGATGACCCTTTTTGTGTAGAATGCTTTCGCAGTTTCACACTCAAAACACAATTGCATATATTTGCAATGTGGTCAAGTCACTGTACAATCGTAATGATAAGGAGGCGCATCTGTTCACTGCAAGTCGGTAGGGAAAGATTGTGTATGACAGTGTTTTACAGAGCTGGATGTGAGTAGCATGTTGTAAAAGTCGTTTTCTGTAGAAATCGAGCGAGCAAGTTTCCTTTTAAGCAGC